ATCTCCTTTTATATATGAAATTTAATAACATTAATAATTTTTAATTACATAGCATAATTTAAATATTTCAAATTTCAAAGAAAACAATTCCAGTTATTAATGCTTTCATATGCAATGACTATCAACGAGAGTTAATGACAAACACTCTCAAATGTTGGATTATTATTGAAGAAATCAATTTTTGTCCGAGGGCCTTAAAATATGGGGGTCTTAAAATATTGATTTGTAGTGACTTGGATTGGATTTATATTTCAACTACGCATACTAATGTGATTTACCAAGAAGTTTTTAATAATTTTTATTTTTAAATAAGTTTTAATCAAGTCTTAATAATGTTTATTATTTTAACTAATTAGCCTAATTGAATTTCATATCTCTCTCTCTCTCTCTCTCTCTCTCTCTCTCTCTATATATATATATATATATATATATATATATATATATATATATATATATATATATATATATATATATATATATATATATATTATCGTAACTATTCAACATAGTTATTACATAAAAACAAATATTTTTTGAAAAATCAATCTGTCGATTGTATTAATGGATGAAAGCTATAATAGCGTCAGGAGGGATAGAATCCCAATATATAGAATGTTCCTGAGTAAAAGCTAACGAAGCTAAAGTATGAGCATGTAAATTAATCTGTCTAGGCACATAGCTTAACGAAATAAAATTAAATAAAGACATCATTGTCTTGCACTGGTCAATTATCAACCCAGCATACGAGTGAATGAGTGTATTTTGGTGATGTATGGTGGATCGTAGAACCATACAATCCGTGAGCAGATTGGCCGAATTAATACTCCTTTCAACTAACCAGGACAGTGCCTCTTTAAAAGCCATAGCCTCCGCCATGAGTGGTGAAAAACAAACGGGTGATCTGCCATTCTTAGCTGCCACAAACGAGCCACCGGGCTCTACTAACACAATTCCATACGTAGCCTCCCCGGTTTCCTGCCGATACCCCGCATCTATATAGCATCGCATGTGATTGTTGGACAACACTGGTTCGGATTGTGGCTGCACATCTTCTCGCGTAGAACGGCCGTGTACCGCACCATAGGCTTTCAATAATGTTGCCGCCCCCTTCACAACAGCCTGCGGCCGTGACATGGCCCCTTCCCACACGGCCGCATTGCGGCTTCTCCAAATATTGTATAGAACTCCCACCAAAAGCTGTTTTTGTTCCTCGATTAGAATCGCCATCGCCCCAGTTAACCATGCTGCAAACGAATCTGTAATAATATTCGTGACAGGTAATTGTGTTATATTCCAAACTAATGCAGAATATTCACAATAAATTAATGCATGCAACACATCTTCATTATTAAATCTGCACATAGGACATGTCGGGTCAATCTCCACCCTCTTATTAATTAGATTCGTGGTAGTGGGTAAAATATCACATACTGCTCTCCATAAAAAAAATCTTCCATTTTGGTGGTACTTTCAATTTCCACATCTTAACCCATTTATCAAAATCACCTGGGTTATTCTCATAATCACCAACAATATGCCTGTAAGCATTCTTTACTGAATAAATTCCTTTTGGGTCACCTATCCAGTACCATGAGTCATCATAATCAGGGCTAACAGGAATCATAACTATTCTGCTCACATCCTCAGGGATAAATAAATCAGATAAAATATGTGGATCCCATGTTTGTGTTTGTGGGTCAATCAAACCTGCTACTCGTGCCTCTCTTAACTCCTCAGGCATAATTGTTTGTACCAATGGACTTGGGTTATCCTGTAGCCATGGGTGTCCCCAAATTAGAGTTGTCTCACCATTTCCAATCCTGCGTCTTATCCCAGCTACCACTATTGGATGTGCTGCCAATTATACTTCTCCAACAAAAACTTGGGCAATTACCAATAGTAGCATCAACAAAACTAGAATGGGGTAATACCTGGCTTTATATATTCTTGCCACCAGAGACTCTGGGTTTGTCAAAAAACGCCATGCCTGCTTGCCCAGCCTAGCTAGATTAAAAGCCCTTAATTCCTTGAAACCCAAACCACCAAACTTCTTCGGGATACATAACTTATCCCATGCCTTCCAGTGAATCCCCTTATCTCTGCCACTTCCCCACCAGTATCTATTCATGGCTCTCTCAATGGATTGACAAACTGTTTCAGGCAACAAAAAAACACTCATTGAAAAAGTTGGCATAGATTGAGCCACACTTTTCAATAAAACTTCCTTACCAGCCTGAGATAATAATTTTGTGCTCCACGATCCAATCCTCTGCCTGATCTTTTCCTCCACATAGGAAAAAACTGCTCTTTTATTTCTGCCCACAAAGGATGGGAGGCCCAGATATTTCCCAAAATTACTTGCCTGCACTACCGCAAGACAGTCTGCCACCTGCGTTCTGACCATGTGGTGGGTATTTCGGCTAAAACATATATTTGACTTGTTATAATTCACCACCTGTCCAGATAGTTTCTCATACCTCATCAAACATTCTTTAATCATCGTAGCCTCATGAATATTCGCTTTAAAGAAAAGCAGGCTGTCATCTGCAAAGAATAAATGAGACACCGGGGGAGCACCCCTGCCCACTCTACATCCATGTATAGATCCTGCCATCTGTTCCTTCTGCAACAACACCGAAAGTGCCTCAGCACAGATAATGAATAATAAGGAGAAAGAGGATCTCCCTGTCTGAGTCCACGAGTCGGTTTGACTTGTCCCCCCACCTCTCCATTCACCATTACAGTATAGCTCACTGTTGTCACACACAACATTATTAGATTCACCCATTTATCACTAAAACCTAGCACCGTCAACATCTTTTCCAGAAAACCCCATTCCATTCTATCGTATGCTTTTGACATGTCCAACTTCAGTGCACTCCAGCCTACTACACCACACTGCTTCCTGTTCAAGTAGTGACCCACCTCAGCAGCCACCAAGATATTATCTGTAATCAACCTGTCAGGAATAAATGCACTTTGGGATTCCGAGATGATATCTCCCATCAAAACTTTCATTCTGTTTGCCAACATCTTTGCCATTATCCTATATATGACATTACTTAACGCAATCGGTCTCAAATCCGCAACAGTCTCCGGGACCTCTTTTTTAGGAATCAATACTAGGTTAGCATCATTCAGACCTTCTGGAAACACCCCAGAGTTCAAAGCATGCAATATAAAATCAGACACATCATCCCCCACAATAGACCAAAAGTGCTGATAGAAACCCGGATTCATTCCATCTGGGCCTGGTGCTTTATCCGGGAACATAGAAAAGAGTGCGGTTTTTACCTCTTCTTTCGAAAAAGGCTGATCAACATCTCATTATTCTCATTCGACACACGGGGGGCAAAATCATTAAAGAGGGGATCATTATAGCTCAAATTATTAGAAGCAAATATTCTCTTAAAATAATCCAGAATCACCGAATGCATATCTGTATCCTCCACCCAATCCCCACCCTCATTCTTAATATTAGCAATAAAATTCTTCTTTCTACGGGCAGAAGCATACCTGTGATAGAACTTGGTGTTAGCATCTGCACCCCTGAGCCAGTGTTGTTTCGCACGCTGTCTCCAAAATACATCCTCCTGGGCCTCCAATTGTTTTAACTGATTCTCATTCTGTTGGAATTTGGCCAATGCGACCGGATTCGTTATATCACAGAACCTCTCTTGCTGCTTCCGCAACTGCCCTATTCGGTGGCCAAATTTATGGAATTGGTCCCCCCCCCCCCCCCCCCCCCCCCCCCCCCCCCATCTCATCAACTTCATACCACAAAAGTGCTGACAGTGCAACAAGCCCTCCGACCTCCCTTCCTGCCAGGCTGTCTCCACCACATCCTTGCACCCCTCATCCAATAACCATGCATTTTCAAATCTAAACCCCCTCGGTCCTCTTACTCTACGTATACTGAGAGCATTTATATTGAGAAACAGAGCCGAGTGATCTGACTCTCTAGTCTGCAAATTCTCCACCCATGCATTCTCATTCATACCACCCCACTCCTCCGTAATAAGCACCTTATCAAGCATCTCCTGTATCCAGTTCACTGTGCCTTTACTCTTATCCCATGTAAACTGACGTCCCCGCATCGGCATTTGCACCAAACCACACTCATCAATGGTTTCCCCAAACCCTCGTAAGAGGCTATTCGGGTATGGGTTCCCCCCCCCCCCCCCCCTCTTTTCATGTTGATAGAGAAGATTATTAAAATCCCCTATCACCACCCAGGGTAACCCAGATCTACTCTTCAACATACTCAGCAGCTCCTAGATTTCCTGTCTTCTATTTCGATCCGGACATCCATATAAACCTGTCTCCACCACATCCTTGCACCCCTCATCCAATAACCATGCATTTTCAAATCTAAACCCCCTCGGTCCTCTTACTCTACGTATACTGAGAGCATTTATATTGAGAAACAGAGCCGAGTGATCTGACTCTCTAGTCTGCAAATTCTCCACCCATGCATTCTCATTCATACCACCCCACTCCTCCATAATAAGCACCTTATCAAGCCTCTCATGTATCCAGGGTAACCCAGATATACTCTTCAACATACTCAGCAGCTCCCAGATTTCCTGTCTTCTATTTCGATCCGGACATCCATATAAACATGTCATACGCCATAACTTTCCAATCATAATAACCTCAATATCAATATGGTTGAGCGAGTAACTCAACAATTTAGCCGTGTTGTTCCTCTTCCAAAGGAGTGCCATACCCCCACTCAGGCCTTCATTATTGACATAAAACAAACCCTCATAACCAAGCCTAACATGGACTCTCTCCGCATGACTCCGTGCCACCTTAGTTTCCATAAAAAACACAAACTCTGGCTTCTTACGGGACACCAAGTCCACTACTTCTCGAACTATGCATGGATTGCGCAAGCCACGACAGTTCCAGCTTATCGTACTCATGATGATGGGCGGGGCTAGACACCAGCTCCCGCCATGGACAAGTTTTTTGAACCAGCAGTGTTTGTTACCTCATCATTCCCACCATCCCACCGTCCCATGCCTACGACGCTTTGCTGTAGCCACCACCACCTCATCCTCAGACATACTCGTGGGTGTGACTCCCCCACCTCCCCGACCCCCGTCTACTGCCTCAATCATTCGTGGCTTTGCTACCAATGGATGTGGTTTCTCGCCTACCGGCACGAGCCAGCTATCCCCAACTGCTCTAGGAGCGCTCCGGGACTCACCAGCCCGCATATCCGGACCGTACAGGTACCTTTCCACTGGAATTTCCGCCTCCCTAGCCTGGAGGCAGAAAGTATGCAAGTGACCCATATACCCACAAAAGTAGCAAAACTTATGCAACCGCTCGTACCTGAAATTAACCCACGTTGTAGTCTTGTCTCTCTTCATTAATCTCATCCTCCTCCAAAGAGGCCTATCAACCGGAATTGACACCCAAATACGATGAAAATTTAACCACGGTGCCCCTTCAAATCGCTCATCATGCTTAACAAAAGAGCCCAGAAAATTCCCTGCCTGTTCCAGAATTGCGTGAGATGTGTACCCCTTAGGCATGTCATGCAGCTGTACCCACATATCAATCATGTCCAGCTTCACATCCACAGGATTCACCCCGTCCAACACCTCCCGACACATAAGAGCATTATTCTCAAAAGCCCAGGGGCCCCCATTCAGCACATAGTCCATATCCGTTTTGTGGAAAAAAACAAACAAGAACAAGCCCCTCTGAATCTCCGTTACCTGTACCCCACGCACTGGCTGCCAAACTGACGCTAACACCTGCCTCATAAAATCTAGTTTAATTAACTTTTGAGTCAAAAAGCGTCCGACCACCCTCCATGTCTCTTCCTCACCTTTCCCGCCTCCCTCAGCCCCATCCTCCTCCCCTCCCGGCATAAACACTGCACCCTCCTCCTCCAGCAGTGCCCAATCCGCCCACCTATCCATCAACTCCGCCACACCCGCCCCACCCTCGGCTGTCGTACTGCCGCCCCCTCCTCCCTCCCTCGCTGCCTACTGCCCGTCCCCCTTCCACCTAAACTGCCTACATCATCACCCGCCACTCTACCAACTTCTCCAACTAGTGCGTCCTGCCTAACTCGCCCACCGCCCTTACCCCCTCCTTCTTCCCCAAGCTGCATTTTCTCCATAAAAATCCCTTCGCTACAACCGATGTTCCTCCCAGCCGAACTCCCTACGCCAGCTCGCCACATCCCCTCCCCCGTTCGGCACAAACCAGGTCCATCCGACTGCCCTCCACCGGTCCGCATATCTGCAGCGCATGTCTCCTCCCCACGCTCAATCAATTCGTCATCCATAGCAACGTCTCTGGCCATCGTCCGGACAGAAGAAAACGATCACCGTTGAAAACCTAGGAAAACCCTAGTAGGAAACACAAAATCCCTAGAGAGAATCTAGAGAGGGCTAACGGCACGTGTTTACACTAATGATTATTACACTTTACTTAAAAAAAATAAAATAAAAAATATAAATGAATAAAGCTTTCATATCATATTTACACATGAAATTTATTTACAATACTAATTTTAGTATTATAAAATAACTTTAATATTTATAATCTTTAGTCCGTGCATTGCACGGGAGGCATACTAATGTTGTTTACAAAAAGATTTTTAGTATTGCTTAGTTTTTTTTTTTTTTTTTTTTTTTTTTTTTTTTTTTTTTTTTTTTTTTAATTCAAACATTACGTTTGTTACTCAATGTACATGTTTATCTAATTTAGATTACATGATTAGTATAATTTAACTATTTTTATATTATTCTATTTTTTAAAATTATGTATGTTTTTATATGATGTCATGAACAATATGTAAGATTTATTCATAATATAATGCAACTCTATTATATATGGCCGTGTATGGCACGGGACAATATCTAGTTCTTATAATATTCAAATCCTATCATTGTCCATTCTCAAGATTTGAGTGGGATGTATATTTAATATTTTCAAATCGTCGTCTCTCAAGATTTTATAAATAGGATTTTTTTTTTTTTCATTCAGAAAGTTTAATTTTTGGATCATTTTCACTTCAGATTAAAGTTTATGGTTAAAGTATATTTTACCCATGAAACCCATTTGACAAAGCAATCTGATTACAATGAATTATGAATTCAATAAGGATAATTATTTGCTTATGTACTATGGAGACAAAAACAATTCATGGCCGAAAAAATGTTTATTACAAATCAAATCAAATCTGTATATAGTGGGAAAATATATACTCATGTAAAATATTGAATCTCACAAAAAAGTCATAAATTGTAAACCTTAGAAATGGTCTAATCTAATAAAAGAAAGCTAAGGCAACCGACAAAAAAGTGAGTGGCAAGGCCGCAATAGCCATAGAAGGTGCGGCGGTGCTAGGCGGCGGCGGAGAATCTACGGAAGGGACAGATGGGGTGGTGGGTGCAGGGCCAGAGGATGGCGGGGTGACCGCACATTTTATTTTTTAGCTTGTGGTTTTCATCTCCTAATTTCATGTGATGGACTATTTCTTGTCCGCATGATAGGTCTCCACCTTGCATGCATGATCCTTAATTACCGCCACTTGCCCATTAACATAGTAATACACATGGAAGGTAGTTATCTTTCTCCAATATATATACTTGTCCTTTGGACAGCAAATAACACACCAAAATTCTGATCCCTATTTGCTGCCATAGCTATACGTCTGAGCTTTGTTACTAGTTTGTTGAGTGCAAACTGAGCGTGCCTGTGCTACCGGTCGAAAGCACCGGTGGGAAGTCGGGAATTGCTTTTAAGGCAGTGTTCGTACGAACACGACACAGTGCAATATTCGTTCACCTATATCTACCAAAAGACCCAACAGCTAGAATTCCCGGTTGCAGACATTGTTCATATCCAAAATACAACAGTTAAAAGCAATACCCGATGGCAATGTCTTCACTTATAACCAAACCTGTTGTTGATCTCACCAAGCTTGAGCCTCTCAATGGCCTCAACTTTCGCAGATGGTCAGCAAAGATTTTCATGCATTTCGAGCAGACTGAAATGGACTACGTGCTGCTCCAAGATCCTGCGCCATATCTCGTCCAGACTTCATCAGCTTCAACAAAGCAGTCCGCGTCTACTCCTCTTAAGCCTTCAGAGTCAGAAACCGCTGCTTTGGATAATAGCACTACTACTGTCGCATCCTCTACAGAAGAAGCGGCAATCACCGAAGAAACTCGCATGAAATATGACAAGGATAACAAATATGTTCGTGCAACAATACTGCAAAACATGGTAGACTCCATTTTTGATCTTTACTCCAAACAAAGGTACGCAAAAATCATTTGGGACCTCCTACAAAACAAATATGGTTCGGAAGATGCCGGGCGTCGCAAATATGCTGTTGCACGTTGGCTCAACTTCAAAATGACAGACTCAAAGCCAATGTTGGAGCAGGTCCATGAATATGAAAATTTGATCACAGATATGCTCTCAGAAGGTACCCAGGTAAATGATACATTTCTGTGTGATGCTTTAATAGAGAAATTACCTGAATCTTGGGAAAGTTTCCAAAACAAGATGAGGCATAGCTCAAAATCAACTACGTTGGAGGAATTGGTGAAATCAATTAATATTGAAGCCTCAATTCGCGAAAACAGGTCGGTTACCTATCCTGGAAACTTTAAAGCTAATATTGTTGAATCTAGTTTCAATCAGAACAGGGTGAAACACGAAGGTCAAAAAAAAAAATAATAATAATAGAAAGAACAATAAGCCCAGCAACAATGATCACCGCTTCAAAAATGACAAAATCCAGAAAAAAGGAAGTGGTGGATGTTTCGTTTGCGGGAAACAGGGCCATCGTGCAGCACAATGCTATCGTTGCAAAGGAATTCAAAATCAGAGTTCACAAAAGGCGAATAATGCTGAACCAAGAAATCAAGTTAATTTACTCGAGAACGCCGAAGATACCGAGGTAATTGCAGCTGTAATCACCGAAGCCAACATAGTGCAAAATCAAGAAGAATGGGTGGTAGACACTGGCGCCTCCCGTCACTTCTGCACCAACAAAGACATGTTCAAGGAGTTCGTGTCAACTGAAGGAGAACAAGTTTTCATGGGAAACTCCAGCGTTTCTGAGGTAAGGGGTAGTGGAACAGTAGAATTTATGTTATTCTCTGGGAAGAAACTGCTCTTACAAAATGTGTTATTTGTTCCTACCCTTCGTAGAAATTTAATCTCTGGAGCCTTGTTGAATAAGGCTGGGATTAAGTTAGTTTTTGAGTCTAATCGTTTGGTTATGACTCGAGGGGGAAAATACCTTGGGAAGGGATATCTACGTAATGGCCTCTTTGTGTTGGATGTAAACGTAGTTAAGTCTGAACCGAATCATGATGTTGTTAATTGGCATGGCCCAAATAATAATAATGTTTCTTCTGCTTACTTGTCTGTTTCAGTAAATGTTTGGCATGGTAGACTAGGTCATATTGGCTTAAACTGCTTAAATAGACTAAAAAGTATGAATTTATTGCCAAATGTATGTACTGATTCATATTCCCAATGTGAAGTATGTGTTGAAGCTAAGTTTACTAGAAAATCTTTTTCTGCTGTAAACTCACGTTCTACTTCAGTTTTAGAATTGATACATTCTGATCTGGCTGACTTTAAAAGTACTGAAAGTAGAGGCGGCAAGCAGTATTATATAACTTTCATTGATGATTTTTCTCGCTTTACAAAAGTTTTTTTGTTAAGAACAAAAGACGAAGCAGAACAAAAATTCAAGATTTTGAAATCAGAAGTAGAAAATCAATTAGACAAGAAAATCAAAAGGTTTCGTTCTGATAGGGGAGGTGAATATGAAACAAATTTTTTGAAAAACTTGTGTGAAAAGTCTGGAATTATTCATGAAGTAACTGCTCCATACACCCCACAACAAAATGGAATAGCAGAAAGAAAAAATAGAACTCTGAAAGAAATGCTCAATGCAATGCTAATCAGTGCAGGTGCTCCAGACTCCCTGTGGGGGGAAGCTGTGTTAACAGCTAATCACATTCTGAACAGGGTTCCTCATAAAGGGTTTGAGAAAACCCATTATGAGTTGTGGAAAGGGCATGCCCCCAACTTAAAATATCTCAAAGTGTGGGGGTGCCTAGCCAAAGTGGGATTTCCATCCTTCAAAAGACCCAACATAGGGTCTAAAACTTTAGATGCCATCCTTGTAGGCTATGCTGAAAACAGCGCCGCCTATAGATTTCTGTGTTTAAAGGACCGTTCTATATGTGAATCTCGAGATGCTGTGTTTTTCGAGAACATATTTCCGTTGAAAAATGCTCTCAGCCTAACGGAAAATAGCCATCAACTTGGTGAACCTGCATGGTTTCCTTTTACTAATGCTTTAGATGATTCTTGTGAACCTAGAAGAAGCAAAAGGTCAAGAACTGAGAAAAGCTTTGGTTCAGATTTCATTACTTACATGACTGACGTGCAAGATATAAATGAAATCTGTGATCATTTTATTTGTCAGTTAGTTTTAGAAGAAGAGCCGAAAAATGTTGACGAAGCCATGAGATCTATTGATTGCACACTGTGGAAAGAAGCAATCAAAAGTGAGTTAGACTCAATTAAGTCAAATCTCACTTGGGAATTAGTAGATCTCCCAAAAGGGTGTAAACCAGTGGGTTGCAAGTGGATCTTTAAAAGGAAGTTAAGACCAGATGGGTCTATTGAAAGGTTTAAAGCCAGACTTGTAGCCAAAGGCTATACTCAGAGGTTTGGTGAAGATTACTTTGATACCTATTCACCAGTAACAAAAATAGCAACCATTCGTGTTTTGTTTGCGTTAGCCTCAATGCACAGGTTGCTAGTCCACCAGATGGACGTCAAAACTGCATTCCTTAATGGTGACTTGGAAGAAGAAATTTACATGGAGCAACCTCCTGGGTGTGCCGAACCTGGTCAAGAAGGAAAGGTATGT